GCCGACTCTGTCATGAACGACGAGCATGGATCCCGGTCGGACATTTCCGATTGGAGCTCTTCAAAACCTCGTCACTCGAGTCATCAAGGTAATATTATCAACCCCCACTATTTCTTTATATATTTAATCATTCATACATCCATACACGCATTCATACCATACACCCACACCCCCCGGACGATTCTACCCGAATCGCCCAGGAGATCGGGGGCTAAAGCATTGCGTATGCAGTCAAATGCATCACAACGCTCCGTGTTGCGTCACGAAGTGGCAGTTGCCTAATTCAACATGAGCAACGACCGACTGGGGTTTGAAGGCCGGCCCACCAAGGGATCAAGGCCGCCTCACATCAAATAGAGCCAGGGGAGAAAATGCAGATGAGCCCCGAGTGGCCCTCGCCCAGTCTGCCCCAAAGCAGACAGGGTCATCTCAACCTTCTTGTTCGATCCTAAACCTCTACCAAACCCACAGAATCTCCATCGAAGGGGAGGCCAGCGGCCCACCTGAGTCGGTCTTCGGAACGACCCAGGCATCTACCGGGTTATAGGTTAAGGAGTAGTGGAATGCCACAAGAGGGCTATGCCGACCCCGTCACTAACGACGGACCTAGATTTTACTCGATCATACCCGCTAGAGAGCTCACCGAGCGCGTCGCTCAAGCCCGAGCCATCGGGCAAGCGACGTTAGCTAAGCCCTCCGGTTGTGAGAAACCGAGGATGAGGAAACGCACAAAACTCAAACCGACCCCTATCAAAACCCAAACAGGGCTCAGGGGCTCACGACTCGGCTGCGCGGGCTGCACCGACGCTAGGATCTATGAGCTCTGTCTCGCTCGATCCCTAAAACTAACAGCCTCGGCTGCGCGGGCTGCACCGACGCCACGATCCGCGAGCTCCATCTCGCCCGATCCCTAAAACTAACTGCATCGGTTGCGCGGGATGCACCGACGCCACGATCCACGAGCTCTGTCTCGCTCGATCCCTAAAACTAACTGCCTCGACTGCGCGGGCTGCACCGATGCTAGGATCCATGAGCTCCATCTCGCCCGGTCCCTAAACTAACTACCTCGGCTGCGCGGGCTGCACCAACACCAGGATCTGCAAGCTCCGTCTCGCCCAATCCCTAAAAAACCGCCTCGGCTGCGCACGACCCCTTGGTTGATGACTCTGTCTCGACTAAAATGCACACACACAACCATTGACAAAAACCTCCCAGGCGATTCTGCCCGAATCGCCCGGGGGCTACACCCGTGGATGCGCTCGCGCACACCCACTGATAGAACAAAACTTCCCCCGTTGGCAATGCAAAAAAACCCCTTAGACGATTCTACCCGAATCGCTCGGGGGCTCAGGGGCTACACTCGCGGGTGCGCTCGTGCACACCCGCCCTTCAAAACAAAAATCCCCTAGATGATTCTACCCGAATCACCCGGGGGATCGGGGGCTCCTGTCGGGTTCATACACCCAGGGTCCCTCATGAATCGGCTTTCCAGCAAAGGTTCGGCCCAGCAGACAACGTTGCAAATGACGTGCAACTCTTGGGCCGGCCCAAGACACCTAAACAACAGGCCAGAAGGACAATCCAATCTCCGACCGGAAGGCCTGGCCGAGGAGGAACGGCGCCCGCTTCCGACAACGGCCCGCCTCTCCGACCGGAAAGCCTCACGAAGGATGAACAACGCTCGCTTCCATCACCGGCCCACCTCCAGACGGCCTCTCCGACCGAAAGGCCTGGCCAAAACACCACTTCCGACTCCAACCACTCCTCCAACCGGAAATGCGCTGAACCCCTGCTTATAGCTCCTCTCTGACTAGCGCAATCAGAGCCGACTGGGACCAACCGGGGACGCCCGCTTGGTAAGGACCAGGAAACGGATGGAGAAAGTAAGGTAGGGCACTCAAGTCAACCGCAATACTAAGGACCGTACCCTGTACACCTGTAGGACAGTACCCTATGACCTCCCTAGCATGATAGAACCAAAGCAGTGTTGTAGGGGCCGACATTTTACCCTACAGTGTTGTGGGCGCCATCAACTCCCATACTAGACAAATATGGTAAGGCTCCCCCACATGCCTCTGGCCATCAACAGTGTTGTGGGCGCCGGCATTTACCACCACAGGCGAACATGATAAAACCCCCTACGTCCCTCTAGGCATCAACAGTATGGCAGGCACCGACATCTGCCATACCAGAAGAAGACGACACAACCTCCCACGTGCATCTGGCATTAAACAGTATTGTGGGCGCCTACCATCATCTTGTACCCGCTGGCTTGGGCAACAAGACTTAGTGACATACGCACTCTCCCTCTCACTTGTAAGGCCATCCCCTTCATCTATAAAAGGGGATGCGCCCTCTCCCAAAAAGAGATCGATCAGTTCGCTTGTATTGATTCACCCTCTGTAGCTTTAGACACTCTAAGGTTATACCGAGCACACGCTCGAACACTTAGCACATAGCGGGGCTCCCATCACTCTCGGCCCTTCAGGCCAGAGTCCGACCAGACCTCTTGTACCCTCCATCTTTCTCCCTTCCATTTGTAACCCCATAGCAAACTTCAAGCACCTAGGCTCAGGAATAAAGTCACCGACCAACTAAAACTGAACGTAGGGCATGTTGCCTAAACCAGTATAAACCCTATGTCATTGAGTGATAGGCCACATCCGATCACAACGTACAGCAAAACTACAAATATTTATGTGTTGGTCACTTTCTGCACCGACACCATGAGAAGCACTCACTCATCCAAGTGGCTTGAAGCCATGGAAGATGAAATAAAATCAATAAAAACCAACGGAGTTTGGAAATTAGAAATAATTCCTAAAGGAGCCAAGACAGTAGGCTGTAAATGGGTCTACAAAACTAAACATGACTCCAAAGGGAATCTAGAAAGGTTTAAAGCGCGACTTGTGGCAAAAGGTTTCACGCAAAAAGAAGGCATCGATTATAATGAGACATTTTCTCCAGTATCATGTAAGGATTCTTTTAGAATCATAATAGCGCTTGTAGCACATTACGACTTAGAATTACATCAGATGGATATAAAGACGGCGTTCCTAAATGGGGATCTGGAGGAAAATGTTTACATGGCACAACCGAAAGGTTTTGTTGTAGAAGGTAAAGAACGCATGGGATGCCATTTGAAAAAATCCATTTATGGATTAAAGCAAGCTTCAAGACAGTGGTATTTGAAGTTTGATAGTACAATAGGAAAGTTTGGGTTTCAAGAAAATGTATAGAACAACTGCGTTTATGCAAATTTCAAGAATGGGAAATACATTTTCCTAGTCTTGTATGTGGATGACATCTTGCTCGCTAGCAGTGATGTTAATCTACTGCTAGAAACAAAGAAGTTCTTATCCTCAAAGTTTGATATGAAGGATCTCGGTGAAGCTTCGTTCGTCCTAGTAATAGAGATTCACCGAGATAGAGAAAATGGGGTTTTAGGATTATCACAAAAGGCATACTTAGAAAAAGTTTTAAAGAAATACAGTATGCAAAATTGTAAGTCATCACCTGCTTCCATAGTCAAGGGCGACAGATATGGGGAATTTTAATTTTCCAGGAACCAATATGAGATCAATCAAATGAAAACGGTTCCATATAGTTCAGCTGTCGGAAGTTTACAGTATGCTCAAGTGTGTACTCGCCCTGACTTAGCATTTGTTACTAGGTTGCTTGGCAGATATCAGAGTAATCCAGAAATATAACACTAGAAATTAGTAAAGAAAGTTTTGCGTTACCTGCAAGGTACGAAGGGTCTCATGCTAACGTACAGAAGATCTGATTCCCTACACATAGAAGGGTATACAGATTCTGATTATGCGGAAGATGAAAGAAAGTCCACGTCATGATACATATTCACTCTCGCAGGAGGAGCTATATCGTGGAAAAGCTTAAAGCAAACCATCACTACATCGTCCACAATGTATGCCGAGTGTGTAGCATGTTATAAGGCGACAAGGCAGGTGAATCGGCTAAAGAAATTCATACCCGGGTTGAAAGTGATAGACGACGTACATAAACCACTTAAGTTATACTGCGATAATAATCCAGTAGTATGTTATGCTCACAACAATAAGTCAAGTGGTGCTGCCAAACACATTGACATAAAGTATTATGTTGTGAAAGATAAAGTCCAGGATCATATAATTAGTCTTGAGCATATAAGAACAGAAAAGATGCTCGTAGATCCGCTTACAAAAGGCTTATCACCCAGTGTGTTCAGAGAACACATAGCCGGCATGAGTTTAAAGGAAAGCCAATGATTCCTGGACAATAAGGGCCTAGTTAAGAATCTGTTTCAAAAAAGAGAGGTGCATTGTACCTGTTTAATCTAATGGCAAGAGATCGTGACGATGAAGCACGCTCTATGCACTGACCTGTGATGGAATGGGAACAAGAGAAAGTAAGTAAGTTAAGTTTAAGTTATAAGTGAGATCAAGGGGGAGAATGTTAATTGATCTCCACCAATTGGCCCAACGTCCAATTGGGCCCTTGGATCCGTGTCCTGATCGGAGGCGCTCAACCATAATATGGTTGGTGGGCCCCCGTTGCACAGCGCTATAAATAGGAGGTGGGGGCCGGGGACGCCAAGAATGAGGTTTGCCTGAGATGCATAGCACCCCACCTATAGTCCTAAACCCTATCCGATAACAGAGGGGGCGCTGCCAACGACGGGAAGCGCCGCCACCGCCTCTGCATCTACACTGAAGGGCTGCTACGAGGCCAGGCTGCCCTGCGACCTCTACACCGACCCCTGGACGACGCCGCTACTGCACCGCCGCCCTTCGACTCAGCACTGCCACCGGGTTATCGCCAAGCACTGTGATGGCGAGCCCATCTTCCTCCAAGGCGGCTGATGGTTTGCACCCCTTCGCCCATCTTTTTCTCACTCTATTTATTAATCCAGTACTAGTAGATGCTTCTAGGACTCACGGTTTATTCCAAGTGCAAGTAGAAATGCTAGATTTATCCCTAGTGATCCTGCTTTACATCTATCACCTCATGCCTCTGGCAGATTTTGCTTGCAATGTTAGCAATGTCAAAATCTTCTGGCACACAACACCACCTCTGGACACTGAAATGCTTCTCAATTTCGGGGTCATTGTAAATGAGCTGCACAAAAGTAGTCTTGCCCCGACCGGCCATTCCAATGATAGGAACAACCATGGGAACACCCCCCCCCCCCCCCACCACAACCATCATGCTCAAGACACATCTTTAGGATCTTGGTCTTCTCCTCACTTCTGGATCTGCTGACAATGTCCATATCAGAGTCAACCATTATGCTATCAGTCTGCCGCCACCGCCACTGCATCGATGGCGGCACTGGCACATGGTGCCTCTGTGTGAAGTTGAAATCATTCATCTCTTTGACAAGAACCTCTATCTTCTGCACAATCTTGTGCAGCTTCTTGCTCATCCTGTAACGAAACACGATGGGGTTACGAGCAGGGAAGAGGCTTACAACATCCATCCCGAGCTTGACGTAGTGTCCCTTTTTCTTGGCGTCACGCCGGAGCGATTCGTACTTGAACTCATTGAAGACGTCGATCCCCTCATAGGACACCTTCTTGATTGCTTGGAGCCAAGCACCAACTATTGGTCGGCTAGCCCCCTTCTCGGCATCTTCAATGACGTCAAGGATGGCCGGGAGCCTGCGCGCCAGGATCTCGCGCTGCTCCTCCATGCCTTGCATCACCTTGTACTGATCCAGAAGGTAGCTGGACGCCTTCTCCTTCAGCGATTTCACCAACGCCCCAACCACCAACTCAGCCATTGTTGCTCTCGCAGCTCACCAGCAGAGCGCACGCACAGCTAGCACACAAGGAAAGCACGGTGGAGTGTTTATGCCTTCATTAAGGAACAAATTAACCGGTCCCAACTAATTAAAGAACGCTTCTGCCTTCTGAGCACAAGGACGAGTGGGTTTGGCATCCGAGTGAGTGAACCAATTAATAATATGCAGTCCAGAAGAATGGCACATGCAGGTCTACTTTGTCCGGGGACAAACATATGTTTATGACAAAAAAAATGTGACAATGGCAACTGCCGCTAATGAGAGGTTTTTTATGGCATGAAGTAATAATTTCAAGTTGCAATCAAATTCTCGATACCAAGAATAAATCAACTGTACTTTTTTTTGTAATAGGGTCTTTTACCCGTTTTTCATTAAGAGAAAAGGCAAAAAAAAGGCCAGAACATGGATACAAAGGACTCACAAGTAATCCTCGGATTACCCGCAGGATCCCCAAAACACAAACAAACAGCAAGAAAACACGAGGGGGACCTCCACCACACTACACCAACCGACTCTACCTGCAAAAGAGAGATACATCCGCGCAATGGTCTCCAACAGAGGGGAGCGAAGCCGTGGTGGCAAAGCATCCACCGGTAGAATCCACGAGCGAACAGGTAGCCGCTGCGAAGTAGAAGTATCCGCCAGCGACCAGGTAGCCGATGCAAAGAAGGGAACGTATCCGCTAGCGATCAGGTAGCCGCTGCGGAGAAGAAGACGACTGTGGCAACACCAACACCTGCGGTGGAAGGACCAAAGCGAAGCGAAAGCAAAAGGACAGGAAGGCACAGCACAAGCAAGGAGCAGCTCGTACCTAACACCACAGACCTAACCGCCTGCAGAAAAGGTTCAACGCAAAGGCTGCCCGCTCAGAAGCCGAAGCCGCGGTGGCAAGGAAACCACCGAAATGAACGAAGATAACGGCGACAACAGCGACCAGGTAGCCACTGTGAACACCCAAACGACCATCAACAAATTCAACAGCGACCAGGTAGTCGCTGTGAACTGTACGACTACGGCAAAACATCAACAGCGACTAGGTAGCTGTTGTGAACCGGCGAGCAACTGTAGCAACAACATCAACTGAGGTGGGGCAGACGTATGCGAAGAGAAGAGTGAAGCACACACGGACACAGAAATGGTGAGGACCGACTCTGGGGAATGGCGCGGTGGGAACAAGCGGAGTGCATCAATGAAGCCTTCAAGAAGGTGATGACATCTGCGGACGCCAACTTCGTTGTGAGCATCACCCAACAGGAACTTTCGTCCCAAAATTTGCCTCAACATCCTCCAACGATGGACTGAGCATATGACGACGCCTCTAAGAAGGTGATGACGCTGGCGCGCCACCGTCATCGGCCCAAGGCAAGAAGCTGGCGGGGTTTTCACCACCTGTCTGTCGTCGACCCCGACAGCCGCCGAAGGGGAGCAGGATGGCCCGGCCAAGAGCAGCTGCCATGGAGGAGCAGATCCAGCCACCGACCCCCTGGCCGCCCGGCAAGTTCGTTGCCGCCCGCCACCCACCACCGAGGGTCCAGGACACCTCTAGATGGCAGATGTTGTCCAGGGAGCCTGGAGCCGACCATCCGCCACCGGTCGATGCCGTAGGTGGGCCGACCCTACTGTAAGCCACCACCGAGAGAGATCCGACCGCCGGAGCGCCAGATCTAGCCCTAGGGGGGTGGATCCGGTCGATCGCCGCCGCAAACCGCCAAAGATGGAGAGGGTGTAGCGGCCGCCACCACCCGGCCCGGCAGCCAGTGCAGGCCGACCTAGCCGCTCCCCATCGCCGAGGAAGGAGAGCCAGCCACCAGTGCGCCAGATCCGGCCCTAGGGGGCAGATCCGGCCGACCGCCGCCGCTCCTCGCCTGAGGTGGAGAGGGTGGAGGAGGGAGGTAAAGGAGTGAGGGTGAGGGAGAGGGAGATGCCAATGGAGCTCCTTTTTTGGGCCCACCGCTGGCCGCCGCCACTGCGCGCTAGTGGGCAGCGACAGCGGCCGGAGGAGAGGGCGGGAGGGGGGTGCTTGGACAGCGGCGAGGTCGCCCCCGAGTCGCAATGTTGAGGACGCTTGGGGGGAGGGGGAGGGGTTTTACACCTTTCACCAACAGCTCAAAAATAAACTATACTGATGATTTTGGATCCAAACCATCATCAGTGCTTGATATAAAGTGCAATTTATGAATCATAACGTTTGATCTTTAATCTGGCGTGCATGTGCATGTGAACTTAGAAAGAAGCCCCCCAGTTTGGAAGGAATACTCCAAATAAAAGATCCACTTTGGAATTCAAAATAAACAAATAAAGTATACTTATTTTGTTCTTGGTAATGCTCCACATTATCAGCTTGCCCTTGATCAATTTCGCAGTGGGAAGCATGTGGATGCCTAGTTTTTAAAGGTGTCCACAACAACCTTAAAATATGCGCATGTTCAGGATCAATGACCGGCTTCCAAGGGCAGTCTTAAGGGCGTCCTCAGGAGTTTAAGTCAGTTGTTATTCCTAAGTGACATCTCCATGTGAGCAATCACTGATATAAGGACACTCACAACATAGAAATTATAGTAGTTTCTATAGATATTAAATGCACTGCCACGTAAGCATTTTGTTGAGGTGGCACACTATTTGTTGAAGAGAGAGGACGAAAAAAGAAGAAATCATTTCTTGAAAGGAGATAGTGTCTTCGCGTGAGCCCAAGACTAAAGAAACTGAATCGGTATTGCCTTGGATGGCGTGCTTCGCTCCAAATCCCGTGCGGTCGTTCAACGTCAGAGCTCGCACGAGGCCGTCCCAGACACCGTCTACACTCTCCCCCACCGCCTTGGCCTCCCGGGCGGCCGGCGCTCGCCGTTCGCACCCCTGCCTCTCCCTCGCCGTGGGGGCGCCGCTGCTTGCCAGACTACAGACGCGAAGCCCATCCGCCTTGCCCTCCTGGTGACCGAACACTGGCGACAATGGATGAGAGTGAAAAGAAAGAAGGGACAAACGTGCAGGATGCGAAGATGGAAGAAGAAATACGGTGAATGGTTGGACAAATTTTTATCTAGGCTCTAGTAGAAAATCTTGCAATGTGAAGAGTATTTTCACTATAGAAACTGCTTTGTTTTCTTGTATTAAGAGTGCCCTAAACTTTACTCGTCCAAATACTCATCTTTTTGCACTTAAGTTAATCATAGCCTTTACTTAACCACTTAAGTTAATCATAACCTTTACTTAACCACTGAGCTTGGATCGCGTAATTGCTTAGTTAGCTAGTTTCGATAGAAAGTCGAGTGTAAGCGGGTTCTCACTCTCGTGTGTGTAGGAGCTACACCGGGATAAGTAACTACTTAAAACTTGCAAGGGTGCAGTGTCAACTTGATTCAAACTACTCAATCTCTACTATAATGGATCAATCAAAATTATACTAGGTCCCCTCAAGAAAACATCCCCTGCTGAGAGCCTCAAGCCATTGTGCACCTAGAAAATGCACATAGAAATTCGTCTCCATTAAAATCAAGGACTAATAAAACACCTAAACCAAATCCGATGGCCATGATTTAACGTGGGATACCAGACTTCTCACCCCACCTTCCCACCCCGCGCCCTCCTCGCACTTCAACGCACACATGCACAGGCTTCAACGTGCGGCATCCGCAGACCCACCCACGACGATCCAGGTTCAAACCCTACTAGCTACCCAAAAAAAGAAAAATAAAAAAAACTAAGCGACCAGGGAGCCGTCGCCGCCGGTGGCACAAGGGGCCGCGCGGGGCTAGGCGCCACCCGTAGGCGTAGGACCGCGCAAGGGAGGCCGAGCGCCATGGCCAGTCGGAGCGGTGGCAGCCAGGCGGGTAGTCGGCACGACAAGCCAGTGCCCACGCTCGCCCAGTGGCCTGCTGCCGGCAGGGGCTGCTGGCCACCGGCCAGCCCCTGCAACCGGAGCGGCTAGCTCGACGGCGGCATGGCCAGCCGCGGCGCCCTCCTCCTCCTACCCGCCTCACCCTTCCAGAAGCTTTCGAAAGCGAACCCAAGCAGGTAGCCACGTTCCCCCTCAACCTGAACCATAGCTCGACTAGCCCCTACCTGGGATTCCAATAGATTTTTAGACTCTTCTCAGCTGGCGATTTCGGTGGGGGCAGTTTGTTTGGTTTTCATATTCCCCCGGAACTTTTCCTATGATTTTTTTGGTGTGGGCTTCCTGATCGCTCATGGCTCTACTGTGAATTCTAATGGTGATTGCGTTGTGGTGCTTGTTTGGTGGTTGCAGAGTTTGAGGGACAACGAGGGGTTGTACCTCGCCAGCAAATCGGTCGAGCAGCTGTTGATCTACATCCCCTTCATGCAAGTGGTCAAACTGCATTCCGCGCTATTCAAAGGTCCCGAGGAAGAGGGTGAGCTTTGCTACTCCCTGTTTGAGTTATGTGCGTTGCGGCTAGATTTGTGCCCAATTGGGGAGTACTACTTTCCGAAGATAGATGCAATAGTGATAGCTAGATCACCTAATGACCTGATTGATATTAGGTCTGTGAGGATCCTTGTGATATCATGTAACTTCAGTTGTGCTGCTGAAAAATATCCTTGTGTTTAGAATCGCAACAAAGGTGCTTACTTGTTTATATTTCTTATACTTGCATTAGTATTGCCAGTGTTAAGTCACCATTTTATTGGAGACAATTCCCTATTTGACACCGCATGAAAATTCAGCCTCCCTTATTTGACACGGGTTCTTACTTCCATTCCCAATAATCCTTGCTTTTGATGGATTTGATCAGGTACTGAAGGCATGGTGGCATGGTGCCGACGAATATGCTGCCTAATTGTCCTTTTTTAGATTTCATTTGCCTCACTGTATGATGTTGCCTTACTGTTTCAGACATCTCTGCTCAGGAAAGTGGCAGGGTCAAAATTCGCAAATTGCAGAGAAAAGGCAGCCAACATCAAATGAGAATGATGCCTCAGCCAGTGGGAAACAGTGTCTTGCTGTCTCTGATGACTCTTCTCAT